TGCACTTTTATTAAATAAGTATTATTTTAATAACCAATATTCTACATAATCATACAACTGACTGTACTTTGTACCCCCCCCTTACCTGTTTGCACTTCTACCCAAAATTTGGTTTTGATCGGTCAGTGTATGGCTATTTTAGAGGGCGTAACAGATGGACTAATGGAAGCCATAGATTTATATAAGATCTGTTTTCACATCGCCAATAGCATCATCTCGCATTTTCCATATATGGAACTCCCTTCCTCTTACTTGCTTCCCTGATAGCTATAATCTTCAGCTATTCAAATGCAATGTCAATCGACATCTTCAGGTGCCTTGATCTAATTCCCTTTCCTTCTCTTCATCCTTTCCTCTTTCACACCTCTTTACTCTTGCTCCCATTCTCTGTAACCCCTTGCACGCTAGTGAAATGTTTTAAAAAAAAAAATTATACTGGATGTTCACTTACTGAAGGAATTCAACAAAACATGTGACCAACCTAATAAATATTAGTGCAATCTGCAGTTGCCAAGGTTATGTTATCCAGAGTTTGTCTTCTCATTTCCAATAATGGATCACCTTCTTTTGTTTTTATCTGGAGTTGTTTCAAAGAATCTTTTTTCTCTTTCTCTGTTCATTGCCCAATGAATGACTTTGTAGGATGTCAAAAAACAAAAACCTGAGGAAGGTCATTTGAAGACCTTGTGGCACACTTGGGAAAAATATATATGACAAAGTGTAAAATGTTTTCATGTGATGATTTAGGATTTCATCAGTCCCACCCTTTCACTGCCAAAACAGTTAAATGTAGCTGTCTCTTCTACTCCAATAGCTTCATGTCTCGTAATTTCCATGTGTGGAACTCCCTTTGTCTTACTTGCTTCCCTGATAGCTATAATCTTCAACTATTTAAATGCAATGTCAATCGACATCTTCAGATGCCTTGATCTAATTCCCTGTCCTTCTCTTTATCTTTTCCTCTTTCATGCCTCTTTACTCTTGCTCCCACTCTCTTTAGGATTTCTTCTGACTAAATTTGTTATGTTGATATGCTCTTCTCTTTGCCAGCATAATGCCAGTTAGTACAATATGACATGCAATCTACAAGGTGCTGTTTGCTGCTTGGGTGTAATTCAGGCATACCTTAAGGCTGTCTATAACTGACCTGTCTTGTCTTTGACTGCAGAGAATTTATCGAGGTCTGCAGCATATACCATCCATGCTCAGTGGGGGGTTTAAATGTGGTGAATGCAGAAGTTAATGAGTTGTTGGAACCATTTTCCTGTGCTTCATGCTAAATGAGGGGGTATTACCTTCCCAGTACAAACCATCACTACTAGAAAAACATATTGCGCAGAAAGGACTGCAATAGGATCTGAATATGTGATGCATGTGAAAACAGTTTCACTCATGTTTCTTTTGACTACCAACATACTACACACAATTACAGATCCACTTTGTCGAACAACCTTCTAACACGCTGCTCATATAGTTTTTTTTTCCACACGGACTCAACTCTGCTTAAAAGAACTGGAAATTTGACTCATCTGATCAGATGACACAGCACCAGACTTCAACTGTCCAGGTACAATGTTGCAGTTAAGCTGCAGTTACTGAATTCATCGCATCACTAATGGTGCCTTTGTTAGAAAAAGACTACAAAACCCCCCATGAGGTGCAGTGGATACTGCATTGATTGATAGGTTAACTGGTATTATACCAACTTGATAATTTTTGCCTGAATTTCTGGGATGAGAAGTTATCATTATTTACATTCAAACTATTATCTTCATCTTTGTTGTCGTTATCACAACATTTTGGCCATTGTGCAAGACCTTTATTAGGTATATATCAATCCAGGTAACCAACAGAGAATTCTGAACTGAGCCCTTTATTTAAATCTATGGAGGGGGTAGACAGTTCTCATTCCCCTGCCCATGTCTTGGGATATCTTATTTAGTGCTTCTTTTTAGTATTGTTCAGTTATAGCTTGCCTAAGTACACACTTCCTGGCCCAAGGATTGAACTCACAATTACTGTCAATAAATTCATGAACCAATCCACTGGGACAATTCTCTGTGGAGAACATGGAGCCTTAAACCTATCCTGCCTGCTGATGAGTGTTGCTACTTGTCATGCTTGACTGCACTCACAGAAGCTTTTCCTCTTTTGTGACAGCTGCTACTAATTTCTGTCTGAATGTCTAGGTTGATCAGTTATTATTTACAGTCAGAGATCAAAAAGTCCAAAGTATTGTGATAATAACAATGAAAATAAGGATATTGGAGTTATAAGCATTAACTTCCTTTGATTTGGACTCTTCCGGAATTATCCACTTTTTTGCTCTACTATATATCCTCTTGTATTTGTATTTTATGTATTTATATTTGCTCTTAGACCTGTCATGGACTATTCTGTTTATTAAAGCCAATGTATTTCTTTACTTCTGTTTCTTATTACAGTTAGTCAAACTGTAAATAATACAAATAATGAGATGTACTATCATTGAATTAAGATGTGATTTGATGCAATTCTTCCCTTTATTAGGTTGATACTGTCAATAGCATTGGTATTCTTGTATAAGTTGTGGGTGCCTGCAGTTTTCTTATGCCACTGATATCTATCTACAATTCACATATTCCTGGTATTAACTTCTTAATGTTATACAAGGATGGCGTAAAGTAGTGTCCACCTCGGTGATAATGCCTCACCTGATAATCAACTATCATTCTATAGAAAAAAAGATGTTCAATTCTGATTGCCACAGCTATATGATCTTTTCAACTGTTATGTATAACATGTACATCAGTAATCTGAGATTCTTTTCTACAAGTAGAGAACAAGACCATCTAGTATTTTTCCTGTTTTTTCCACTTAAGTTTAATTCTGGGATCATCAGGTGACTTGTGTATCAAATAAAGATGTTTATGTGTAAATCTGTTAGTCTATGTTCAGAAGCCAGTCAGCATTTGTTATACACATTGTTTCAGGTCAATCAGTTCTTGCCATTTTATTTTAATCATGTGAACACTTTAAAACCAGCAGATTTTTTGAGAGACAAATTGAGTTCACATTGAATCTTCAGCTTTTTTTCCACTTGATGAAATAAAACCGTGTTGTGTTTTGGGACATTTATGTTGTCTTGTGTACATCTTCTAAATAAATAAATGGCAAATTCTGTCTGTCCATTCGTGTGTCTGAAACTCGGGCCACACTTGCTCTACATAGACATATTATAACTTTTTGGGATCAAGATGATCCTGGGATGGAAAATCTGCTCTTCATTAAATTGAATTCTCCTGAATTGGAGATTTGGCCCAAATGTCGGTCTTTTGGCTGGAACTGGACTTATAGCCTGAATCAGAGTTAAAGTGAGGTTTCGAAGTTCCATGGAATGAATTGAGGAATTCAAAGTTATTTCATCAAAATTTTGATTGCTGTTTTCTAAGTTGCACCAGTGGTCCCCTTAGTTTTGTGCCAGCACAGAGTTCAGCTCTTAAACTAGTTTGCAATAATAAAAAAAAGTCAATTTTTCTGACAAGTCTATTACCAGTGACCTCAACTCCACTGTAGGATGATAAAAGGGTGTTTTTTTTTTTGTTGTTGTTGTTTTTTTGTTTTTTTTTGCAAAGTCATATGGCAAGAAATGTTATATTTGTATGCAAAAGAAAAATGGGTGAAATCAGTTCCTTTATACAGCAGCAACAGTTTAAAATTATTGCATGTTTGTCTTTCAGATCCTTTGTACTTATATATTGTATAATTTAATTCAAAAAAGAAATCTATTTGAAGGTGCACAAATGGCAGACACATTGTGGAATCTTTAATAAAACCATTTTTCTGCATGACTATGTTTGAAATATAGTCATGCAGAAAAATGGTTTTATTAAAATTCCAATGCAGTCAATTCTGGTAATGGATATTTTGTTTTTACCTTCTGATAAGAATTTTGTTAAAATTCTGATTTGATTTAGACATGTAAAAATAACCTATTTGAAATTAAAATTACTGAATTATCCATATCTTGAAATGATCCAGGCTCTTTTATTAAATTGTAATATTTCAGTGTCTGTCAAGAAATAGAGAGAGGAACAAGAATGTGTTTGTGTTTTTTTTGTTTTTTTTTAATAAACTATTTTGCAGTATTAAATGCAACTACACCTTTTTTTTATGGATTCCTCTAGCAACTTGGAAAGAGAAATTTGTGAACCAGGCTAGAATTATGTCAAGTTTGTTTGCTTTGCTAATATCCCTGAGAAAGGTATGAATCCATCTCTTCTCTCCCAAGCTATAGATTAATAATAAAGCTGGTTGATTTCACTTGCCCAGAGATGAACAAGAAAAATTCTGAAATCAAGACCATCCTGAAGAAGAATGGCCTTTGTCAAGTTATCTTACCCTACAAACCACTGCTACTATAATTGCAGTAAATGTGGTGTCTATGTAACCCAAATGGATAACACAGCTTATGACATGACTAATTCAGTGAATGTCTAGTGGCGGCAATGGCAGTATAATAATAATAATAATAATAATAATAGTTAGAAAAGAATTTGTGCTAAATTTATATCTTAGGGTAAGTATAAGGGAATCACTTAAAATCCTGGTCCTGTCAGAGAGAGATAAGACTGCTTCTCTCTTCCTGATGGTCTTACCCTAGTTAGGAAAAAAAAAGTTAAATGTGTGACACAGCATGAGTCAGATAAATATTAGGGAGATGAAGTATTGTTTTGTTTTTTTTTCCTTTTTTTGCTTTTATATGTCTTATAAAGTTTTCTGCTACTGTTCCTTCTACCACAATCCATGAATACATTCCTGGTGAGCATAGGTAACGTTTCTTCTCTAAGGATATGCTCCGTTGCTCTTGAGTAAGGATCCTGACTGTTAGTTTCTTGGAGCAGCTGTTACATATCAGCCTTGAATTCAGTATCACGTTGTTGGACCCCAATGTCCTTCCCATCCCACCCTAGTGACAAGAAACTTCTGAAATATGTCACTCCAAATGCAGTAGGAATTTGATGACACTGGGAGCTGATTCCCAGAATGGTATGTAAAAAGAAAGAATTTGTGAGGAATCTGCCTGTGACTGCCGAAAATGGCCATCTTTGTTATGAAATTTTACTGAAGATTGTATGAGTTTTTAAATTTCAATTATTCCTCTTGACGTCAACATACTCTTTCTTTCAATTTCACCCCTCCCTATCTATTTCAATCAACTCTTTCCTTTTTATTCCTTTCTCATTTCCTCCCCTATCTTAAGCTACTCTTTCTATTTTTTCCTTTCCCCTCCTTATTTCAGTCTACTCTTTCCTTTCTAGTTCTGTTCCATTCTCTCCTCCCTCACTATTTCAACCAACTCTTTTATTTTGTTTCTTCTTCCCCTCACTATTTGAATCTAATCTCTCCTTTCCATTTCTTTCCCATTACCCCCATTTCAATCTACTCTCTCCTTTACATTTTTCTCCCTTCCCTATTTTATTCTACTCTCTGTTTGCCATTTCTTTCCCATCCCCTCCCTATTTCAATCTAGTCTCGTTTCCATTTCTCTCCTATTCCTCTTTCTTTATCTATTTCTGTCTACACTTTCCTATTTGTCTCTGATCCCACTCCCAGTTTCAATCTAGTCTCATTTACATTTCTCTCTCTCTCTCTCTCATTCCCTATCTCTATTTATTTGTCTAATCTTTTTATTTTCTCTTTTCCCTCTCTATTTCAATCTATCTCCTTTACATTTCCCTTCCATCCCCCCCCATCCTGTCTATTTCAATCTCCTTTCCATTTCCTGCCTATTCTGCCCACCCTGTCTATTTCAGTCTACTCTCCATTTCATTTCATTTCCATTCCTCTACCCTGTCTATTTCAATCTCTCTCTCTTTATATTTCTCTCCCATTCCCCCCACTCTGTCTATTTCAATTTACTCTCTTCTTTTTATTTCTCACTGTTTAATTAAGCAGACTTCCTTGAGTGTTCTTTGAAGATCTTTAGATGAAACATTGAGCAATTAGAATTGTGCAGTTTCAGTTTCTCTGTAAACACATCATCGTTATGGTTTTTATTTAGGTGCAGTTCTATGATTAAACATTGCTTTCTTTTGATGAATATTGTCTTCATTTTGTTTTTATTCCTTTTATCTTTCCTATCAGATTTTTATGGCTATCATCCTGATAGAACTCGTACAAATTCATCCACACTACATTGAATATTGACCAGATTTTATTAGTACACAACATATTTTTTAATCGTACTGTAAGGATTGGTGATTAAGCACATTTCAATTTACTGAAGCTGAAACCAAAAACAGTTTCCAAAATATATACTTATTGTACACTCTCTTCATTTCATAAAAAATAATATTCTTTAAAACCTCTCTCTCTCTCTCTCTCTCTCCCCCTGTCATTTTAGGGTAAGATTTTGGAGGTTGATATTAAATATCACCTTTTGTTGAGTTTGTAAAATTATTGTACCAATTTACTGGGACTAATATCCTCATCTTTGCTTCAATATTTTTTTTTTACAGTGATATTCACCCTCAAGGCTCAAGAGCCACTCGAAGTAGAGGGTTACAGAGTAAGAGGCATGGTTTATGTGGGAAAGATAATGATTAACCCTAAACTTGAACAGGTTAAAAGTATAATGATCCGGGATGCAATCACTTGAGAGTCAGTTTCATAAAGCAGCAGTTCATGGAGAGAAGCTGCTCAAGTGGAACTTACATTTAACCAATGGAATACAAATAGGATGAGGGTTTTTTACTACAATGTGCATGGTGTAGCAAGTCTTAACTATGATGGTCGCCGCCCTCTGTCTTTTTAAAAAATACTTTCATGGTAACTGCTCCAATGAGCTGCTTTCACGGGTTCCCAGACTTCATGAATTTAAGTGTTCAATTAAGCTGGCATCTCTCTCTTGCCCTTTCACTGTCAAAACTGATAAATGTAGCCATCTCTTCTACTCCGATAACTTCGTCTCGCACTTCTCACCTGTGGAACTCCCTCCCCATTTCTTGTTTTCCTGATAGCTATAATCTATTCAAATGTAATGTCAATCGACATCTCCAGATGCCTTGATCTATCCCCTATCCTTCTCTTCATCCTTTCCTCTATCACTCCACTTTGTTCTTGCTCCAACTCTCTGTAACCCCTTGTGTACTAGTGGCTTCCCTCCTTGCTTGGGGTGAAATTCTTTAAAAAAAAAAAAAAAATCTAGTGAAACTAAGGAATGTAGTTTGTCTGAACACTTTCCATGGGAATAGCAATAGAGCAGTGAGAAGCTTGTGACTTTTTGTCTGTAAGAAAGTGGTTGTAGAGTCGAAAATAATTTGTCACCCCCTGGGAGGTGGAAGTGCTTTCGAACTCTCTCAAGGCTGAAAAGTGAAGACTGGGCAGTTTCTGCTTATATATGCTAGCAGTACTCTATTTTTGACCAGATCTAGCTCTTGTAATGGTAGAAAATAGCAGGTGGAGTCAGGTACTTACCAGAGCAGTACAAGGAGCTGACCATTTTACCATCATCTTTAGCAAGGGATTGTATGTATGAGTTCCACAAAGTTTGGGATGAGTTTCTCCCAATTGGCACTCAATGTATAGGATTTGCCTGAAGGAATATCTGTCCATCATGATTGCAGAAAGTTCTGGATCTGAACAGCAGTGATAGAATGTCACTAGTTTGATTTTTGAGATTGCCAAAGATGCATTCCAAAAGCTAAGCAGTGTATTAAGAGACAGAAAAGTTTTGTTAGAAACAAAGAAAAGAGTATTGAACTGTTATGTGATATCTGTCCTCTTGTATGGCAGTGAATGCTAAACAATCTCCTCAAAAATAAAGATGAGACTTGAAGCAACAGAAATGTGGTACTACAGAAAGATGCTGAGGATACCATAGACCGAATATGTGAGCAACGTCGAGGTTTTGAAGAGAATAGAAACAAAAAGGAAACTTATACTTAACATTGAGAAGAGGCAGGTGAAATTTCTGGGGCAGGTAATGAGGAAGGGGTGCTTGGAAAATTTGATATTCACAGGACAGTAAAAAGGGAAGCAGCACATAACATACTTGATGGGCTTGAATAAATGGATGGTAGAACAGGGTTTGAGAGAAATAACAAAAAGACAAAACTTATTAAGATATACAAGGAACAGGAAGATGTGGAGGGCCATGATCGCCTGTGTCACATAAAGAAAAAAGTAGTAGTAGTCAAGAACATAGTAGCTTACTTTGCTGAATAAAGACACGTGTTGTCTGTATTCTCTGCTTAAACTTGTCAAGCCTAGACCTTGTTTCTGCTTTTTCACCAATCATAGGCATCTTGAGTGTATATAAGTTCTTGCTTTCTAGGGTGTGGAATGCTTTTTTTGTTGGTGTGCAGTGCCGTAGCAACTGTTAGACTTGCAAATATCTTTTTATTATAACATAATACCTTCTTGCCTCCTTCAAATGTTGTAGTTAGTAACCTGCGAACTTCTATCTTTGAGGATTAATAGTTCTCCTTCCACTGTCATCTCTTGTATCAGTTAATCCTTCCAAGTGATGTTTTTTGCCTCTGACATTGAATCAGAATAACTTTTTTTTACCTGACACAACTTGTTTCTCTTTCTCTCTTTCTCTCTCATGCAATTTCAAAGTAAAGTGAACAGATTTGGATTGTTGATGTCAAGCAGCACTTTTGTTGAGTGAGAAAAACAGCATTTTTAAGTAGGGAGCCTATTAAAAATAAAAACATAAGTGATTTTGTTTTCTTTGCATGAACTTACATCTGCCTGAGAGCTGAAGAAATGGTAAACCTGTTGTTTTTTTTTTTTTCTTTCTCAAATTTATCCTTCTAGTTTCTTTTTTTTTTTTTTTTTTTTTTTTTTTTTAAATGGCTGTGTTTGCACAATTCTTGAAGGTTGAACTTTTTAAAAAAAAAACCTAATTAATTTTTTTTTCGGGGATAATTTGTCTTTTCTTTTTTTTTTTTTTTTTAAATTATGTATTTGATTGCTTCTGGGGTGATTTTTTTTTTTTTTTTTTTTTTTTTTTTTCATTTTCATATATCTTGTCTGATGTCTTAAAGTGAAATTTGTCATAAGTTCAATGGGATTTTGAACTAGCATTTTCATTATAGTTTCAATGTTTTGGCTGGTGTGCTCTCCAACCTCTCACTGTTTTTTTTTTTGAAATGGTGATCATTGATGTTTTATTTTTTATCTCCTCCACCACAACAGGGAAATACCTATCTTGTGATTGCTAAATGAATTGGTGGTATCACTTGGCCAATATGTTAGTTGAGATGAAGCAGCAGATTATCACCTCGTTTTTAATTCCTCCAGATTTTCCATTTTCATATACCATCCCACTGTACCCACTGAATCAATCTTTCCCTTCCTCTCACTGTCTCTACCCTGGACTTTCTCTTTCTATGTCTCCACCCCAGGCTTCCTCTTTCTTTCTCTGTCTCTGCCCGGGGCTTTCTCTATCTCAGTTTTGTCTTTTTGTTATTTCTGGGCTTTCTCCCATTTTCCCTCCATCCCGTGTCTTCTCCCACTTTTTCCCTGCTTTCTCTCTCTCTCTCTCTGCCTCTACTGAAGGCTTTCTCTTTCTCTTTTCTCTCCCTCCATCCCTAGTTTTCTCCCCCTCTCTCTCTTTCCCTCCATCGTGGGCTTTCTCCCACTTTCCCTCTATCCCAAGGTTTCTCTCTCTCTCTCCTCCATCACAGGTTTTCTCCACTACCTTGCAGTTTTTTTCTCTCTCTTTCCATCCATTATCAGCTTCTTACCTCTGTCTCTTTCTTTCCACCCCCAGTCTTTTACTCTCTCTCTCTCTCTTTCCAACCCCTGGAGTTCTGACCCCTTTTTGTTCCTCCTCTCCCACTTAGATCCCCCCCTCCCCAGCAGCATCCTTTCCTCCTCCTCCTCTCCAACCCAGTTTTTTCAACACAATCTTTCCACCTCTCCCACCCCTACTTTCTGCACTCTCTCTTCTCCCCCCACATTATCCCCCTCTCTATTTACATGAATAAAATACTCACACATTATTTTTCAGATTTATAATTTCTATCAAACTAACAGATATTATATAGATCTTGTCAAGTTTGAAATAAACCTGTAAATTGAAATATGTTATCTTTTTACAAATAGTAATTCTTGACATTTTTTTATGGAAAGATTTTGTAAAACATTTAATATATGCACAATATATTTGCTTACAGATTTGACAAGTCTGTAGGTTACATCAATAGCTGTATGTCTTTGTTATTTACCTTGGCATATATATATATATATATATATATATATATATATATATATATGTGTGTAATGTAATAGAATTGCTACAAGTGTGAGCAATATTGAGTCCTTGGAATTCTGGGCTATGCTATGAAAGTCAATTGCTAATAAGTCATTAAAATGAGAAATTTGATGCCATGGTATTAATACTACCAACAATACCATTTTGTATGTCATCATTAGTAAACCACACTGTTGGCCACTTAGTTAAGTGTGTCGATAGACACTCAATCACTAAAATATTCTTGTTACATGTGTCTTTATACTTGTGTGTGTGTGTAATAAAAAGGATGGATGTTGCAGGAAGACACATCTAACTGCCTCCCAAAGTCTTGTTTCTTTGTATACATTTCAAAATGCATGTATTCAGGGTGCATTAAAACACACACATTGTGTGTCTGGTGCGACACACAATTTGAGGGAATTTGAAAAGTGGAAAAACTAAATGTAATACAAACTTCAATATCTGTCTATATTTCTGAGATATGTATTATGTACACTATTTACATTATTCGGACTATTGTCCTCATCTTTGTCGCCATATTTATTACAATGATTCGACCTTTCAGTATCTGTCTATATTTCTGAGATGAGGTATTATGTACACTATTTACATTATTCAGGCTATTGTCTTTATCTTTGTCACCATATTTATTACAATGTTTTGGCCTCAAGGACACATGGCACAGTGGATAAAGGCGTTAGTTAGATCCAGTGACAGGATCCAAAAAGTGTGAGGTCAATACCCGGTTAAGGCAGTGGAAAACTTGGAGAGGGGAATTAACAGGAGATAATTGATAACTGACATCCATTAGACATGGCACATGGAACTAGAACAGTCTACCCCAGTGAGCGAAATAAAGGGTTCAGTTCAACATTCCAACCACCTGAAGAAGGCCGGAGCGTACAATGGATGAAACATTGTAATATATACAAATATGAGGACAATAGTCCATATAATGTAAATAGTGTATGTAATACAAACTTCTTTATTAATTTTGTGAAGCTACTTTAGAAGAGATAATCTCTTATGCGTGTGCACATGCATACACACATGCACCAAATTTACTAACATTTAAATTACTAAAATTTAATATTTGATAAAAATGTGCTCATTGATAATTTATTGTGAAAATACAAGGAGACTGAAGAATAACTTGGCAATGCCTCCTGCTGTAGGAACCTGAGGATTCTTTTGTCTGTGTTTTAACCTTTATGTCCAAAAAAAAAAAAAACCTGTGTCAAAAAGACAGTTATTCCCTTGACACCACTATTACTGTATACACTTTTGACTCCCTCAGCAATGTTTGTTTTAAAATTTGATGATTAGAATTTTAATAAAATTCAAACATATGAAAGTGGATTTATACATTTTCTTTATTCTTGAGAATTGATAACAGACATTCACTGCATTAGATTGCTTATTTACAATAATTTTATATTTGTAAGATTATAAAAATTTGAACAAACTATAATGAATGTTTACATAGTTATTTATAAAACAATAAATAATAAATATTGCATTCTAGTATGTTTACACATTTGATAATTTTGTAATTTTTTTACAAATTTTTTAATAAAAAGATTTTTTTAAATTTATCTATTTATAAAAGATAAATAATAAATATCTCATTTTACTTGATTCACATATAATTTTGTAGATTTTTTTATAAATTTTTCAATAAAAAAATACTTTTTCAAATTTATTTCTTTATAAAACGATAAATAAATCTTTATCAAAGGTAAATGATAAATATTACATTCTACTTGGTTCACATATTTTTATAATCTTGTAAATAAAAATTGCTGAGGGAGTGAAGAGTGTATACAGTAATAGCATTACCATTTTTATTTTTTTTCTAAGGTAACATATTGGTCTCTAAGAAAGTTTAATCTGGTGTTGATGTGCCAGTCTCACATAGCAAAGAAAATTGAAAGTATAGCAGCCAACAGAAACTAGTCAGAGAAAGTAGTTTGTAATTGAGGTGGTGGAAAATATGCAGTTTTCATTTATTCATTTTAATCAAGGGATGAATATGATTTGGGAGATTGCCAGGTCCAGATCTTTGATATCTGTGGGCCATTTTGAATTGGTAAAATGAAGAGAATATCCAGAAAAGATTTGGTTTCAATGAAATTTGGTTGTATATCCGTTCCAATATATAGTCAATGTGTACATATTCCCCTATCTGCTCTTACTCTTTTCCTTCTCTTGCTCCTCTTTCCCTTCTCCTCTGCCCCTTCTCCAGCTCTTATCTCTTCTCTGCTCTCTCTTCTCTTCTATTCTGTTTTCACCAGTCTCTCTTCTCCCCGCTCTTTCTTCTCTCTTTCTCCATGCTTTCTTCCCCACATTCTCTCTCCTCTCTTCCCCACATTCTCTCTCCTCTCTTCCCCACATTCTCTCTCCTCTCTTCCCCACATTCTCTCTCCTCTCTTCCCCACATTCTCTCTCTCTCTTCCCCATTCTCTCTCCTCTCTTCCCCACATTCTCTCTCCTCTCTTCCCCACATTCTCTCTCCTCTCTTCCCCACATTCTCTCTCCTCTCTTCCCCACATTCTCTCTCTTTCTTTCCCTTCATTCTCGTTTCTCTTTCCGCCCATTCTCTCTTCTCTTTCCCCCACCTCAAAATGTTCTGTTTTTTTTTTTTTTTTTTTACAATTATCTACCTTATCTGGCATTTCATCTTCAGTTTTGAGCATTTCTTGTTGTTTTCAATGTTTCAGCTGCTCACTCTATTCCAGACTCTCTCACAGGAGACACTTGACTGTAACCTCACCACAAGAAATACAAGTTGGTTTAGAGAATATATCCTGTGTCATTCCCTTTTAAATGCACTTGGTTATTTTTCACAGCCACTCACTCAGCCACATTTACTCAAACTCTAAACCCCCTCCAGACACACCTACAGCTTAGCATATCATTTGATCATAACTTTATTTACATTAACCATTTCTCTTCCGTCTCAAGCAATATTCCCAGATGTTGCATTTACTATATTCTTTCTGGAGTCTTTTTCAGATTTGTTTATATTAAGTTGTTACTAGACTGACTGTTAACAGAAACAAAAAGGAAACTTATACTTAACATCAGGAAGAGACAGTTCACAATTCTATGGCACATAATAAGGAAAGAGGGCTTGGAAAATCTGATATTCACAGGGACAGATTGTAGACAAGTGGGACAGGGGAAAACAACACCTAACCTAGTAAATAGGAGTTGACATGCCGTTAAATCTAACATCCATCCATCCATCCATCCTAACCTAGTGAGCATGAGTGGTGGAAAAGGATTTAGGAAGTTGTGGAGAGCCATGATGGGGACACGGCATGTAAAGAAGTCTGACTGAAATTCTTTCTAGACTTGTAATATCCAAATATGAAACACTTGATATCTATCCATGTTGCATCATCATTATTAGACTTTTCCCTGTTGCAGGAGGAAGTCCTCCAATGTCGGTGACATCAGGTCTGTTTGGGTAAAGATAAAAGCTGCCCAGTTTTTTCATATTTCAAACCTATCTCATTTCCTGCAATAAGATGCTGATTAAGCCACAAACCACTAACACCCCCACCCCACCCCACAGTTACTAGAATTGCTTCATGTGATGCTAGAAGATAGACCAGGCTCTGTAGCCTTGATAGGACACCCATTCTAGACAAGTGGTTTTTAACCTTTTCTGAATCCTAGACCCCTGTAAGAATTAGCCCTTCATAGACAGACATGCAGATACTCAGTGTCTGATTAGTTTTTCACAACCCTTGTGCATGCATTTCTCTATACTGCACCCTCATGCACATACCACTTTTCAGCTAGCCACATTTGAAAGAACTTGTGGTCAATTAACTCTCACCGGTATATGAGAAGATAATGAAGTTGTGATAAACCATGGGAAATGAGAATTCATCACTTGCTATTCGGCAATTAGTTGGAGATTCATCTCCAACTAAGCCAGTTGAACTCTGAAGGCAGAGAGGAACCCAGACGAGGCTATGCCAAAGGGTAGAGTCTCGTCTGGGGTGGTAGACAGCTACCTGACCCTGTTTATTATGGGTTCTATGGGGAATTTTTGCCCAAGCATACGGGCTTGGTTTTTCCCTGCATTAAATAAGTCTTGTGCCACATCCTGCCTCGTGGGGTGGTGAGGTAAATAACCTTGCTCTTATGGAGTGGTAAAAAATGGCAGTCCTTCAGAGAATGACACATTATATGGTAAACATGGACCCAATAGCAAGATGAGATACCTTGTGGTTGGCACTGTAAGTAGTGGCTGGGTGCATTTTCTTTCAAGCAGTGGCAGGATGTATTTTCTTTTATTTCTTTCAATGAGAAACCGTTGATTGGGACAAGGGCTGTATGGTGAATACAAATGTTAATTTATATGTGATCTTTATGGGTCCCCTGAAACCCATTCATAGGCCCCAGGTTGAGAAGCCCTGTTCTAGAAAGACAATTTTGAAATCAAAACTAGGGATCGGCTATATCAGGTTCTCTTTCTCTAGACATGCCCACTGCACTACACATGGGGCTCTTATGGCCCATATGGGTTACAGGACTTGTGGTTGTGATGTTCGTCACATTATAATGAAAAAACAAATTTCTATTTCTTTAGTTTTTTTTTTTTAAATTTAAAAATTTTTTTGCCTGTAATTAAACACAAATGTTACTACTTCTGCAGGTAATCTTACAAGAAAAATAAGCAATCTTTTGTTTTCTAAATATTATTTGATTTAGTCTATCACAAGACTAGAGCAATGAGTGAACCCAGGACCATTTTGTTAAAAACAAAGAAAAGAGTGCTCAATTACTATGTAATATTAATCTTCCTATATGACAATGAAGGAGGCATGATGGAGTTATGGATAGCAACTCTGATTGAGGAATCAGAGAGCTGAGTTCAAATTCCAGTTGGATCTATTACATTCACTTACATGCTAATACCCTTGGAAAAGTATGAATTCTTTTCTTCTCCCACCAGCTATGGCAAATACCAAGACAGACTGGGTTCTATAGCCTTGGATGGAAACCGGTCTAGGAGATGGAAACTTTTAATTCAAAACTGGCCTGTAGAGGGTTGGGCTATCTTTCCCAAGAAACACTACTTCTACTGTGGCTGCAGTGCCCCTACGACCTTGATGGGTCACAGGATTCACGATCATGCGCAATTGATGACATTGAATACAAGACAGCATATATAATCATCTTCTTTTACACATAATGAGGAAAGAAAGCTTGGAAAATATGACACTTATAGGATATACTGAAGGCAAGCAGGACAGAGGGAAACAATGAGTAACCTACCTAACGAGCTTGCATAAATGGATGGCATAACAGAGTGGGAAAGATGGGTAAAAGACAAATCTTACTAAGAGTTACAAAGGATAGGAAGTTGTGGAGAGCCATGATGACCTACATTCTGAAGGGACACAGCATATAAAAAAAGACCATATCATTGTGAGAGGAAAATAAGATATGCTAACAGCTGTACTAATAATTATCTGCTGCACTCAGATGGTCCTCAGCCTGGTGAGAACAACACAAGGTCAAGTGTGGGGCATCCTGTGAGGATTGTACTTGTGTCAGTCTTAATTGGTATATAAGATAAATTTACCAACCAATACTCCATGGCAAGAGTCCCACATGATATATTCTCTCTTTTGGATTATTTTGCACTTAGTTAAATATTGCTCAACACCATATTTTTCTGGCTAATGTGTGTAGGCTATGGAGAGAATGATAGTTTCTCCAGAGACTAGCAATACCGAAAAGTAGTTAATAGTCACCTTTCATGTTTGGAGGCTAAAATGAGGACAATGAGTGAATTTCCATGAGATGAACATTATATAATTAACATCATTTGACACTTAACAATTATCAAGAATGTTAACCTGTTAATGTCCACAGTAAAATTTGGTATTAATCATAAAATTTAAAATAAAAGTTTAATCAGTTGTCATCATTATCAGTCCCTTGACTTCTTCAGTCATCCTGGTTGAGGTGGACCTCAGGGCAGAAGAAACGGACAACCTCTTCCAGAATCTTTTAGTGTGTGTGTCATGGTAAAAACTCCTGTTGTTCCTTAGAAAACTCAATAAATCATTGACGATAGCAGGTGAAAGTTTTATTAACACTAAGATGGCCAGCTCCTTTGACATCTTTATTTACATTACGCTGTGAAGCAGCCATCTTTAATATATTCAATATTCAAGTCAGGAATAACAAGTCTGAAAAGAAATTCACAAATATTAGTATACGTCATACTGAAAGAAAGTGAATGTGTGTGTATAGATAGATAAATAGATAGGAGACATAAACACAGGTATTATTGCTTGTGAGAAATTTTTCAATGCATTTACCCTATAAATAGCCTAGGTGTCAAAAACGACACCTCGACCATTCAAGGTAAAACCTCAAATATCAGCTATTCCACTGAATATTTTTTAAAGAATTAAGTCTGATAAGCATCTTTGCTAAAATTCAATAATTGTCCATAAGCCTCAGCATCGAACCAAAACTAGTTATCCCATAGTAATTTGTTGAAAATTTGAAGATGTCGAAAACAACACCTCAGCCATCCTAGTGTTAAACAAATCAAATGTCTATTTTGCGACACACACCAAATACTGAAACCATGAATAGGTGATGAAGTTTGGAAATTTAATGTGTGAACTAGTATCATCATCATCAGTCCCTTGACTGTTTCAGTTGTTGTTGGGGAAGGTACCTAAAGGTAGGAGAAACAGACAACCTTTTCCAGGATGATCTGTTGGAGATAGCTGTCAGGAGTTCCGGTATTGTCATGTCCATCCTCTCTTTGATATTGTCTGACCAGCTTTTGTGTTGCCATCCCTGCTTGTGTCCTGCTTCAATAGTGCCTTGCATGATGATCTTGCTGAGGCTGTTATGCGGTGTGACCATTACCTCTTCTAACACTTAATAATCATGAGAAGAGTTTCCTGTCAGTCCACAAGATTTTTGACCTTGCTCCATACATAGGCATTGGTTTTGTGTTTCAAATAGGAGATGCATTTGTTTTTGAATACCTAGATCCTTTTTCCTGCCTCAACCAGGAGTGCCAAGAGGAAAATGGATGCAACCAATGATTTGTAGAGCTTGAACTTGGTATAGAAGCTGATGTTTCTCTAATATATCCTTTCCAGTCTGGCCCTCACTATTGTGGTGACCTATGTGGATTTCTGCATTGCAAGATTATCAATCAGTATTATAGGTTAAAAATGGTATGAATTTCAAATAAAGAAAATTAAATATGGTGTTGATTGTAATTTTTTGGGGGGTGGGGGAATGGTATCGATTATAAATTTCAAGTAAAACAAAAAAAAGAAAAGAAAAATGGTGTTGATTATAGAAAAAATAATATTAATTTATAAATTTATAACTGTCTGGTATTAAAGGTTTCTATCAATAACTCATTAATGGCTACCATTCCCAAAATGAGAGGGGGACCTACTGTGATCCATTAGACAAATAAGGTACTATACACAACACACCATACTCTTTTCACTCCCCAATATATTACCTCTCAGTGGTGGTGGGAGTACTACTATCTCATTTGGAATCAGTTGTCAAACAAAATTAAAAAAAAAAAAAAAAAAGAAAAGTTTACCCTAGCTTGGAGTGGGGACACAAGTGATGAATTCATACTTTTACCAAGGACATTAGTGTGACTTATTTCAGCTGGCGTTTGAATTTTATTCACTGGTTCCATTTTCTGTGCAGTTAACTGTGAGGTTGTCTACACCTCCAACATTCCCTGTCAGTATCTCGTCTAAGTAAAAACCAAAAACAAAAATGTCTAGAGATATCTCATTTTGTTCTCAGTTATTGCTAGCTCTTTTTTTTTGTTCTCAGTTATTGCTAGCTCTTTTTTTTTTTGTTCTCAGTTATTGCTAGCTCTTTTTTTTTTTGTTCTCAGTTATTGCTAGCTCTTTTTTTTTTTTTTCTCAGTTATTGCTAGCTCTTTTTTTTTTTGTTCTCAGTTATTGCTAGCTCTTTTTTTTTTGTTCTCAGTTATTGCTAGCTCTTTTTTTTTTGTTCTCAGTTATTGCTAGCTCTTTTTTTTCAGTTATTGCTAGCTCTTTTTTTTTTTTGTTCTCAGTTATTGCTAGCTCTTTTTTTTGTTCTCAGTTATTGCTAGCTCTTTTTTTTGTTCTCAGTTATTGCTAGCTCTTTTTTTTGTTCTCAGTTATTGCTAGCTCTTTTTTTTTTTTTTCTCAGTTATTGCTAGCTCTTTTTTTTTTTCTCAGTTATTGCTAGCTCTTTTTTTTGTTCTCAGTTATTGCTAGCTCTTTTTTTTTGTTCTCAGTTATTGCTATTTTTTTTTTTGTTCTCTTTTTTTTTTTTGTTCTCAGTTATTGCTAGCTCTTTTTCTAATGGACGTAATTTTGTACTACATGGTACAGGGACTGTCCCCAAATTTCTAAACCAACACCTTAATCCATTAAACTATGATATAAAGGGTCCA